GTGTTGGCTAATGTCAGTTATTTGTGGGGACCATCTTGAATTGGATTGACTCATAAGGTTGTAGATGCACAACTACTGATCACTTTCTAAAAGGTTCATTCAGATCCATCCAGTGGTTCATGAGATATTTTGCTAACAAAACAAACAGGATTGACTCCAATAATTAAAGCTCAAATTTGAGGCAAAGTTTTTGCTCAGTGCATTTTGAGTGGGTTTGAAGGAGTTCCAGCTGCTACCACACCAGATTCTACCTCAACATCTGGAAAACTGACTAAATGACAGTCATTGTTGTGCTGGCTGTGGCAGCCATCTTGAATCAGGCTGACTCCAAAAGTTGATCAAATGTAGTGATTACGTTCTTCAAGTTTCATTCAGATTTGCTCAGTGTTTCATGAGGTATTTTTATAACAAACCAGCACAGAAATACACACATAAATAAAAATATAGTTGTCTGCCTCAGTCTTTCAGCTGAAGGCAATAAAAAATTAAAGATGTGTGTTTTTTCTTGGGGGTGGAAAGTGCAGCTTTGAAAAGATTGATATGACAGAAAGGAACAAGGGGGAGAAGTCTGACTGAGATAACACAGACATTAACCCAGATATTCCTGAAGGACGTCCATGTGTGCAGGACGTTCATTTGGCTGGTTGGCTGGGTTGGAGGTCTGCTCATCCAGCCGGCCTGCACTCTGCAGACAGATGTTCTTGCAGCGCCACGGGCAGTGTGTGTTCTAGAAAAACCCAGAGCAGATGCTGCTACCTGGTGTCCCACCCGCCTGCCGCTCGGCTGCGATGGACATGCTCCAGTGGCCATCGCATGACCTCAAAACGGGGGTTCGACAGCACGTGCCGTCAGTCATGGATGATGAAGCAGAGTGGAGCTAACAGGGAAACACTTTCTGAGGCTCAGACCCATGTTTAACTGATCGTCTGCAAGGATCAGTTTACTTCCTGTTTGAAAAAGGTTTTAAAAATAACTAACAGTGGGATGTTACAAAGCATCATATTCTGTCTCAAGTAGCATCAAACCCCTACACGTCTTTCAGCCTGATTTATCCTCCTGTTTTCTTCTTCAGATAAATAAATCTCCACTTTCTTACAAAGAAATAAAAGAGATTCCTGGTCCCCGCGTGTAAGGTCTGTTTTTACCAAACCCAACAAAACCTTCCAAGAGTTTCAAGAACACCCAAAATAAAGATCTACCAGTGGCTCTTTTCATGTTGCAGCAGTGTTTTGTCATATTTTTGTGCAGTAAATTGCGTTTTTTCTTTCTTTACATCGAGGTTGGTGGTGACCCAGAACTGCCAGACAGAGAGGGAGCAGGCCTGACGACCGGGCCCTCGTCTCAGAACTCCCCTAATGAGGAACATTTCGTGGAATCACTTCTTCGACACCACAAAGGACAGAGAGCTTGAACTCAGACTCTTGTATTCCTCTTTTGTGATGTCGTAAAAGAAAACAAGACTTCGGAGGAAGCTGTTACATCTGGGTGTTTGTGTTTTGCAGCAACATTTCACCGCTTCAAGTCAACCTTATCACGTCTCATTCCTTTTGAGGAAACTTTTGTTGCATTGTGACGATCCGGATACAGAGATGCTGCTTATTGACGTGCACATCTGGCGCTTCCACTATCTTATTTTTAATTAATATGCAACAATGAGTGCAAGGAAAGTCCCCCCCATCCCCCATTTTTTTCCCCCAAGCAGTGAATCTTTGTTTGTTAGCTTTATTGGCTGAACGTGTCTCAGAACGCTTTGATCTGAAGCGAAGATTTCAGGTCAGCGTCGACTCCAAAAACAGCTCATTGTTCTTGCTTTTATTAGCTGCTCTATCTCTTAGATTCATCAGGCGCATCGCAGTGGGCTGTTTATCAGAGCATCTCGCTCCCATCACTTAAAGACCTAGCAGAGAATCACACTGCCCCCTCGTGGTCACTGTCATCAAGAGCACGACAGAATTGATTGTGCAGCTGTCAACCAGATCTGATTCATGGGCATCAACTCAACACAACAGATTCTCCTATCTGGTGTGGTGCACAAACGAATGGCAGGTTTTTCTTTTCCTACAAGTCACAAGATTTCAGGAATCAAATGTGGCTCGTTTTAATAGAGCCTCGTATTCTTTTGACCTGAGAGGAGAAGAAGGGGGAAGCAGAGGTGAGCTGGAGTCAAATCAATCCTCCGAGGTGAAGACCGCAATCACAAAAGTCTGAAAATGACTGAATGCGCCGCACGTCTCACGCCACGTTGCTGGAATGGCTTGGAACGACCTGTTTAAGCACGACTCCATCGAGTGTAAAAATGTGGCCTTCGAATGCGAGTTGGAGAAACTGAAATTGAGTTTAGAGTGTGCTGAGATGCAAGACGCTACAGTGATACCAGGGGTGGACTTACCATACAGGCAGTTGCTTTGGACCTCAATAAGATACGTAAAAAAAAAAAAAACCTCACGCATGGATTTTATACGTTTAATTCATTCGTACTGATAAATACGTGTCAATCGTGCATTTAGAAAGAGATACAGTCCAAAAAGATGTTTAATTTTTTTTAACTTTAAGACTAATGGTTTTGATGTGCCAACTGCAAACCCACAACCAACGTAAAAAAAAAATTAAAAAAAAGCCTCAACAAAAAATACTGAGGTTAAATGAGCATCAAGCAGAAAACACAAACCTCCAATCAAAAAGTCCTTTTAGCTCACAGATCATTCGACTTTGCTGCGAGCTCGAAGACACAGACGAAACCATTCAAGTGACAAACAGCTAATAAAGTGCACGAGGCTGCAGAAAGCCCCTTAACAAAGAGAGAATATAATAAACCCAAGGTGCCATCTCCTCAATACATCATCCTGAGTGAGTTTGCCAACCTCACTGTCTGTATCTCTGCGCATGGTAAATGAGAATTTATGCAGCAACCACTTCATCATCTTTACCTTTCCCCCTCCGTGAGGTAACAAAGGCACGCGAGACAGCTATTTCCACCAAAGGCAAAGTCCCCTCGCAGTAATTATATCAGAGTGAGAGAATGGCTCATTAACATATGTTAGGCACGTCAGGAATTTACAAGAACCTTTTGTAGATGCCTTTGGTCGTGTGAGGCTCCCATCCGTATGGCGTCTCCTCTGAGGACGCAACCTTCTTATTTCCATATACGTCAATCATACGGTGTGGCATTCTGCAAAAAATTTAAAAAGGGGGTTGAATGTGGAAATCATAAGAGACGGCTGATACGGAAAAGGCGTGGCTATGTGTTTATTAAGGCAACATAATGAAAACAACGCAACGAGGGTTCTTTTTTTTTTTTTTTTTGCAGTGTGTTGTTGCAAAGTTTGGTTGTCGTGCGCTTGAATGCACGCATGAAGCTTGACTTCAGACACCAGCCAGACGTGACTAGTCCTGAGGCTGCTGAGCTGGTGCTGCACGAACCAACATCTGTTCCCTGCATGAGACGACGTACCGATGACCTTTCACCTATAGTGCAATGCCAGTAGAATGAAATGACCTACTTATCTGCAATGCGTACATGTTCACCCCCAAAAACCATTTGATGTACATTCCTGTCTTAGATCTTATTACTGTTTTTCTTTTACATTTTATTGTTGGATATAACTGGGACCCTGTGTACATAATTTTCGACAATAAAGAAACTCTGACAGAGTCTATTAGACTGCTTATCAGCAGTGAAAAAATCAACACTTGGTCACCTCGGCCTAGAAAACATCCATTTTTCTCCAGTGCTCGTTTTGCTCTAGGCTTAACTTTAAAGAGACAAAAAGTGGAGTCAATAAGATACACGTCACTCAAATCGAACAGGTGATTATTTTAACAAATAACTCTAAATCCTAAAGAAAAACATTGATAACTAGAAGAAAAGTGTAGATGTAATTGAGGTGGGTGGGACTGAGGTGTATTTGAAGAAAATAGTAGAAACTAGATCCATTTGCAGTGATGAAAAAGAGACTTAATAAGAGCATTAAAGGGGTTTGAGAACAAATAAGAGGTAGATGGAGACGAAAGTCACTTTATCCAGTCTTTTGCCTCAGCAAATGTCATTTCAGTGACTGAAGACACATCCATTTCCATCACCATCAGCTCGCTCTATCCATCTCTCTCTTTCCTTCACATTCATTGTCATTGCCTTTTCCCTTTAAGTGCACTTTCGCCCACACCACTTGGAAATTGATTGAAACAAAATGTCACAATTATGCCCTGTAGCTCGCCGCTTCAATTATTCATCAATTAGGGGCTAGGCTTTTTTTTCTCTTTCCTCAGAGCTGATTTTTCATTCAGTTTGCCTGAGATGTATGGCTCCCCTGCTGTTAACCAGTCCAAAGTCATTAGTTTCTGGGTTTGCAATTAAACCTGATGCATTATGTATGAGATTCCGACTCAGCAGACACACGCAGCAGCAGCAGCGGTGGCCGTGGCAGCTAGTGAACAAGCTGGTATAAGCTCTGGAGGCATGGATGAGAAATTAATTTGCTTGCAGTGAAGTTCTCTTCATCCTTCTCTCGCCCTATCTTTCACTCGTCTGGCAGGTTGAAACAGATGCCACGAAGAAACAGGATGGAGACAAAGATGGGACGAAGGGGAGCTCCAGATATTTATACTATAAAAATATGTTGGAATTTTCTGAACAGTTGGATTTTAGATGTAAATGTAACTGTGAATGTTTGGCTTAAACAAACAAAATGGATTTTTCAACAGGTGTAAAAAAAAATCTTGCACATACCTGCATAACCCATGTAACAAAAGAAGCATGCACTTATCTATGAACAAATGTGTATTTTTGCAAACCCACCCATATTTGTTATGAATTCCTCCACCTTGTAGTTTTGTCAATACTGTTGTGAGTTTTAAGAAGATTATATATAGTTGGAGCAGAGCCCACATTTTCTGTTCAAACAAGTCATGAATTTGTACGGTGTTCCTCTGCTGCCACCTAGTGGTCAAACTGGTCAATGTCTCATTCAAAGGAAACCTAAAAATGATCAAATGTTTGCTTTGACAGATCTACACAGTATTAAATAATAAAATGTGTGACATAACATGATGTAACTTTTAATGGACTTTCATTTTGTTTGTAACAACACCATAGTAAGAGTGTCCATCTGAATTAAGGCACTTGTGTGAACACAGAAAAGCCCGAACTGGAACAGTCAGCGAACTCCTCAAGTTCATATCCTGGAGAAAAATAAAATAAAAAATGCACATTTAGCCATTTATGATTAACAGATAATTTAACAACAATGTAGAATGTAAATTCAAAAGCATGTTGACTAAGTTTCATGTGTCATGCACTAACAACGATGATTGAACTAAGGTTTTGATGCTTATTATCAGTAATAAAACCATTTAGCCGCACTTATTCCTACATAGGGAAGTAAAGTGACAAAAGACTTGTGCAAAGAGTTACAATACGAGAAGATCTTTTAACAAAAAAATAGAGATATTTGTCTAATGTGCTTCATTTGTCACTGTACCTGTAATCAGTACATATATATGGAAATACTGATGTCTAAAGAGTCAGTGCAGTACTGACAGTACTGCACCTATTTAGTTATATTTGCTGGAGAAGGTTTGAACATTTATCACAGTTTTAAAGAAATGGTTTAATGCTACGAATATGAAAAACATAAACACATTCCTGACCTTCTTCAGGTTTACAAAATGCACACACTCCAGTCGGGTGGTGAGGAAGGGATGCTGACAAAATGCACAAGAGCTGCTGCTGGTCAGGAGGGCAGAGACGTCCGGGTAACGTGGGAGCATCATGTGGACCAGAGAGAACTTGTTCTGGTCTTCTTGCAGAACAAATCTGGCAACTAATTCCTACAGATGCAAAAACATACCATTAAAAACTGTTTGAAAATCAAACATGCCATAAATAACTTGAGTTTTATTTGTTTCTCGGACCTTCAGTGAAAGAACGTCAGGGTTTGGGAGTGATAGAACTGGTTCACGTTTCACCAGTCGGTTGCTCTCGCAGTGCAGCTCCTTCAGAGGCAGCAGGTGGAACTGAACACACTGTGAGCTTGAATATACTTTTCACATATAACTTGAATATTTTTCATGACATACCTCCACAGGGAACATAGACAACCTGTTCCCAGCCACATCCAGAACCTGAAGTTTATCTAGTGCCACAATCCCCTGTGCAAAAAAAAAAAAAAAGTCAGGCATTCATTTAACTCCATAATTTTAGGCAATTACAGCTGTTGTTAAAAAAAAAAAAAATCTTTACTGATCACATGAGTGGAAACACACATCTGGTAGACTTGTCAGCTGGTTTCTGGCTGCATGAAGCTTTGTCAGCTCTCTGCACTGGTACAGCTGCAGAGGCAGCCATGACAGCTTGTTGAAGGTCAAGTTCAGCTCTCGCAGCTTCGTTAGATAACCAACTTCACGGGGAAGTTCCTCCAGCTTATTGTTCTGCAAACTGAGGTGTTGAAGCTTCCGCAAGCTAATTTTCACAGAAATATGTTATTACACCTAGATGTAAAGCAACTCTATCAGTCAACAACAATAACCAGCTTTTTATGTCCCGTTATAGTATTATTCACTGAATAAAGTCCTTTTAGACCTCGTGTGTTCAGCTGTGTACCTTTTAATGTCCGATGGAAGCCTTTGAATGTTGTTGTGGTTTAGATTGAGGACAACAAGGTTTTCCAGGTGACCTGCAAAAGACAAACCATCACAGTCATTAGGGATTACTGAAGCTTTGTGTTAATCACCTGAAACTTTAAGGCCCTACCTATCACACCAGGAGGCACCGCAGCAATTTGGTTGCTGAACAGATACAGTTTTTTCAGTGACTTCAGACGGTTCAGAACAAGAGGAACCTCCTTCAAGGCGTTATTTCCTAAATTTAATATGGACAGCTAATGTAGATATGGGGGAAAGTAGATGGTTTAATTGGATTCTAAGTGATTTGTTCAACATTTCACGTGCTGCTCAGGTAATTTTCTAACAAAGATGACTCACTTGTTGTAGAGAGAGCAGCTGAGGAGGGAGGCCGGTGATGAAGTTGTTCCTCAACAGGAGGACGGACAGGTTTGTTAATCTGGAAACGCACTCGGGAACACTGAACACTGACCTTGAATTTAAATTTAAAGACGTTGATTTGCCATATAAAGCTCGAATGACTAGCTTATTGACTGTAGAAGATCGATAAGCCATTATGATTAAAAACTAATATCAAGCTGTTGAGTTTCCATGGCAACAAATGCTTTGAGATTTGCTCTAAGCAGTGGCGACCTCTAGCGGTAAACAAGGTGTATGACATGTAAACCATTGAGAGGGATACAGTATAAATAACAAGATGGATGAAAAAGAATGAATATTTATTTGATTTATTAAACTTTATTTAACCCACTGAGATCACAGATATATTTTGCAAGGGAGGCCTAGGACTGAAGACACAGATAAACAAGATATTGATTTTTTTTAAATAGTTTCTGAAGTTTGCAGTAAAATGCAAAGCAGGAGCTTTAGCTTAATTCACAGTTTACAACATAAACACTTCTTGTGTTTATGAAGGTCAGAGTCATATAAAACTTGTAGACATGTGAAAACCATAACTAAATGTATGACTCAAGTTAAACCAATAATATTAGTTATGGTGTATTTTATTTTACAAACTATCAATATAACATACTTATGTTGTACTTCCAGATATTTTAGTGGGGTGGCTTTCTGGGTGCATGTTCTCTCGGTGCATGCATGAGTTTTCTCCGGGTGCTCCGGTTTCCTCCCACAGACCAAAAACATGCATGTTAGACTGGATTGGTAACTCTAAATTGTCTCTAGGTGAGTGAGAGAGTGAATGGTTGTTTGTCTCGTTTGTCTCTATGTGTCCCTGTGATGGACTGGAGACCTGTCCAAGGTGTCCTCCGCCTTTCGCATACTGACTGCTGGACATGGACACCAGTGACCCTCACGACCCAAAAAGGAAGAAGTGAGTAAAGATAATGAATAATGGATAGATGGATATATTTACATTTTAACCACTAATTGCTTATCAGCCATCTTTGTTTTAATTTTTATGATGTTTAAATACTCCTAAATATCATGGGGAAATTTTAAATGATCATCAAGAAAAAGAGGATACAACTGTCTAGCCAAGGGGGGCCATTAAACGCCATCTCCCCACGCCATGGTAGACACGTGTCACTGACTGCTCCTGTTTCTACAGGAACAAAGAAAGACTATAAATCATGTCTCTCGTGCTTTGTGAGTTTTTATTTCAGGTTGTTTTTTTTCAATAAAATGCATTCTTTAATGGCTTTAGATTAATGCTGCTGCAGAGACAAACTTTACATAAAGCAAAAGAAAACAATTACCAACGACATACAAAGTATTTTTTATAAACAAACAAAAAAACGTCCAAAATTGATGCTGAAGTTGTAAATAATAGTTTATAGCATGATAGGTTTGAGAATAACAAATCACCAGATGATAAGTATGAGGCTTGGCATTACACATATTGTAATCCTCAGTGAAATTAGATTTAGCAAGTTAAAAATGATGAAACAAGATTTAACTTTGTCCGAGTGCTCAATGCAGACAGAGCTTTCCAACCAGCTTGCAGTTCAGATTGCTCTGGTATCCTTTATTCTCCAAGACATAAACCCTCTCACAGTCAGTCAGACCTGCAGGTGCTTCCTTTTTTGAGAGTTTTTCTTTGATGGTGAACGTCTCATACGGTGGGATAAGAATTTCACTCTCAGCTTCTTCACGCGTTGGATAATGTTTCAGATTTGCACCTAAACAGGTTGTAATTTTAAAGCAGGTCTCTTTACCAAACTGAGTCAAGTCTGAATCAATGGAGCTGGAAGCAAAATAACCAAACCGGATTGTCTGGCCAACTTGACCTTCGTATTTATCTGGAGTTCTTCTATAAGTGGTGTGACAGTTTTGATTAAGTTTTAGGATTTGTATGGCTGTAGTCAGAAAGAAATGAAAAATGTGGAACTGGAATGATGTACCGTATGTGTTTTTTTGTTCCCTGATGGCCTTATTGATCTCATTATACCCAACATAGCCTGTGTACATACAGATAGCCTGCAGGTGATCTTTAGTCAGAGCCATGTCCTCTGGACTTCTTTCTTTTAATTTGTCCTCTGCACATCTGTTGCTTGTTGTCCAGCCGACGTGCTTTCGTTCTTTGGAGAAGTTCTGGTCGAGGACGTTCTTCATTTTATCACTGCAGCCATCGTACATGTCGTCAACGGATTCTTCAACCATGCCCAACTGGATGGTACTGCAAGTTATCTAAAAACACAACAAAAAATAAAGTTGTCCGCAGTTCAGTCTTCTTTTTTTCCACCTACATGTTGATGTTAGTCAGCAAGTGGATTTGAACCAGCAACAGTCCATCTGCAAACTGACTTATAGCTTCTGGGACACCACTTAACATACACAATAATTGAGAATAAACTTGTTAACACTTTACAATAAGGCTCCCATTACAGATGGCTATAAATAGTTTATACAGTAGATACATTATTAATTCCTCTATAATAATGATAATGATAATAATGTGTTATGTATTGTCATCATTGTATGTTCCCATATAATGGCAAAATTGGATCTCTGCATTTAACCCATTCACCACCAGGGGGTGCAGTGGGCTTCTATTGAGAGCACACAGAGGCATTTTGGGGATAGGGTGTCCTGCTCAGAGACACCACGAGATGTGCAATCACTGGGGATCGAGCCTGGGACTTTCGGGTCCCGAGTCGGCAGCTCTGCCTCTACACCATCTCGGCCCCCATATAAACACTTAAATCATTAATAACTGCTTATTATGCATTAATTAAGGGTGACAGACAGACAAAACTGAGCCGTTTCTTGTCAAATCCAAATCTGCCACCTGTATATATGTCTTCTAGAGTTGTTATATTAAGCATTTCAGACTAAGTTACTACCTTGTAAGCACAATAAGAATTTGTGAACCTATTTCTTTAGCATATAATATTGTACTTTATCACTGCATTATAAGCATTTACAGCTAATATTATATTCTGATGCATGCTCAGTAATTCAGGTAGAAAAATCTAAAAAAGTTAAGTCTGGTCCTCTAGACATTCATATTCATTATATCCTAAAAAAAATAGGTTTACGAATGCTTATTGTGCTTACAAGGTAGTAACTTAATCTGAAATGTTTAGAGAGACAATATGTCACTGCTGCGATTTGAGCTCGGCCCTGCTGAATGTTTAATATAACAAGATGAAATGTACAGGTGAATAGATTTGGCTCATTATTTGGCAATAAACTGGCCAGTTTAGTCTCTTTCTCACCCTTAATTAATGCATAATAAACAATTATTAATGATTTATAAAGCATTTATAGAGGAATTAATAATTATCTATAAACTATTTATTAGCCATCTATAAAGGGAGCCTTATTGTAAAGTGGTACCTAATACTTTAGAAATGCAAATGACAAGAATGACTAGCTACAAAGAAAATAAGCAGGCACATTTACAAAAAGTAAAAATCAAAATAATTTGAGGAATATGATCAAAGACTGAAAAGACTTTGTGTAAAATGGCCTCAATAAATTTGGCTTTTCTTATTATGACCATTTTTGGAATTAGTAGCATAAGTTGTGGCTCAAATATCATGTAGTATTGATCTTTAGCTGGTGACATTTTGAGAATATCACATGAGAAACTTACCGGCATGAGGTCTAGAGTCAGCATCCAGCACAGGTGGAAACAGAGCGGAGTGAAGATCCGCATCTCTGTCACTGTTAGAATCAAAGGTTTACTACAGATTATGACTTAAAATGACTCAAAATAGGTAACAAGTGTCAAAATAATTTCAGTGTTTGCAAGAGAAAGAAGTCAGAGTGATTCTGAGTTCTCTGGTTTGAGTTCAGCTTATATGCAGTGTGAGGGACCAGACTTAAATAAGGACAAAGGTGTTCAAAAATCAGCCAAAATGTCAATTTAATAATTCCAAAATGGTTAAAGATTCAAATTTCTATGAAAAAAATAAACCAAAAGATAAATAACAGATTTGGGCCTAACTTAAATGAGGTCATCTGAACACTTCTCAAACTGACCTGTTAAACGAAGAACAAAGGGCTGCTTAAATAGGGTGGAGTAATCCAAATCTGCCAAATGAGGGAGGCACAACAACATAATAAAGGGACAAAAATACAAAATTAGCTAAAACAGCATCTGAAACAAATAAAGCAAAACTAACTTAGCACAAATAAGTGAACATTAAAGTGACAAATTAACCAACTAAAGCCAAATTTAACAAATAGAAGTTCCCCTTCCCTCAGTCTTTGAGAAAAAGTGGTATGCTCCAGGCTTCCTCCTCCAGCTGATCTGCATTTGCAGCACTTCAAAACAAAAGAACAAGTGTTAGTAAACCATTCAGACAAATATTAACTAAAGTGTGTACCCATCAGAAAATACATGTCTAAAATACCTTAAACTTATACATAATGTAATCTGTAACTAATAATGTAAATTAAATAAATACTAACACGATGTGGTGGTGGAAGCATCCACCACATGCAGTTTAGGTGGAGTGGCACAGGAAGTCCCTGCCCTGCGGGTGCATGACCAGCACAAACTAGGTTCCTTATTAGCAAGATTCATCTCTAATGTTCTATGTGAGCATCGTTCCTCTTTTACTTGCATTTAGAAAGAGATCTTAATCTGTCCTCACAGATGCACAGTCTAAGAAAAGCAGAACATGTTTGCACCAAAAGACAAAAACAGCTCATTGCCCCGAGTGACACCCTCAGAATCACTCAAATACATTTACCATCAGCCATGCAACCTGACTCAACTCAAAAGCAGATTTACATGGAATCACTGAAGAAACAATATAAATACATTGTGCATCAATGGGCATTCTTTTAAAACTTTAAAACTAAAGGTTTTGATCAACTTCCAGTCATTTAGAAATAAATAATGAAATAAAAACAATTAGGAGAAAAGGTTTTAGAGAGAAGTTGTTCTTTGGTTCTGTCTGAGAGTTTGGATGTAGATTTAAATGTCAAAAGCCAAATTCAGTTAATAACTAAATCATCTTTCTACCATCTTGATAATATTGTAAGAATCAGAGATTTTATTCCTAAACCTGATCTTAAAATCCTTGTTCATGCTTTTATTTCCAGTTTACTAAGATTACTGTAGTTTGCTCCAAGACCTGCTGAAAGTACACTTCAGCAGCTCCAGCTGGCACAAAATTCAGCTGACCAAAGACCCAACATCTCAACAGACAACCCCAATTATTTACTTACTTCGTTGGTTACCAGTTTATTACCGAATACATCACAAAATATCCCTTCTTCTGTTGCAGATGACTGGAACCATCTGCAACGCACCTTAAAGCTCGGCTCATTCAATTCGCTTTCCTCTGCAAAATTCAGTATATTCACTACAAGATCACTGTCCTTGCTTTTAGTTTTACAATGCCTGTCACCAGTTTTATTGATCCCAATGGGGTTTTTTTAATAGTGTTTTTAAAATGTTGATTTATGCCATTTGTTTTTTGTCTTCTGCTTTTGTCAGTGCTGCTTTATGTCCACTTGTGTTGCTGCCTCTTGACCACATCGTCATTGTAAATGAGAACTGGTTCCAATGACCTAATACTAGATAAAAAATAATAATAATACTGACTACAACAAAGTCCGTGCTCAATAATCCAGCTATACAATCCAACATTTTTCAGTCAGGTCATCTGGACAGTTTTTTTTTTTTTTTGTGCTGAAACGTTTCGCCTTTGATCCAGAAGGCTTCATCAGTCAAGGAAGCACACAAAACAAAACTGATTCTTCCCCCAAAAGCTTACTTCAAATTGGAACAAACCAGTTATGTTGGTGCTAAGATGGTCTCTTTGTCACGCCCCCTCATCCATTGCCGGCCCTCTTCCTTGTTGACAGTCGTGTCCGTGACAAAGTCCATGCTCAGTAATCCATGTATACTATCCAACATTTTTCAGTCAGGTCATCTGGACTATCTTAGCAGTACAGTACTTAACAGATCATGTTTCCACACTGTGAAGTGCCCAGGCCTCTCAGATCAGCGAGCACAGAGTTATTAGTCATTCCACAAATTAAAACCAAACATGGTGAAGCTGCATGGAGTCCAAGTGGGCCATGCTCCGTGTTTCCATCGTTGTTGTAGCTGCCCTGAGCTGAACTCGGTGGAGGACACTCCAGATAAAACATCTCAATTCTGCAACTGACACAAAAACACTGAGTTTTGTTCAGATAAATAAACATGTCAAATGTAGTTTAACATATGTTTAAAAAGTGTTTTTACAGTGACACTGCAGCATTTTCCCCATTCACAAGACAATTTATTAACGTCTGAATATTTACCCTTTTAATATACATAAATCTATGAAAACATGTTCTGCAAAATAAACCTGTACAGTTTTGAAACCTCTTCATTATTATTTGATGAACTGGCTATACGAGGAAATTTGTCTTCGCACAACATTCAGGAAGTATTGTCACACAGAAATTAATCTCAAGAACACGGTTGTTGTTCTGAAGAATATGAACATCTTGAAAAGTTCAATTTGTTACATTTTTACACAATTCATTTAGTCTTAAATATAAGTATTTAATGTAGGCATGCTTGGACTTCTTCTATTCTTGTCCCCACAGCAACTTGTGCAGCATAACCTTTGCTGCATTTATTCATTCTTGTATGTTGGAGGAAGTGGTGAATGTTGTGTAGACCATGAAAGTGGAAGATGGAGAAGAAGAAGTCAAACAGTCATGAGTAACTAAAGCACATAGCAAAGGGTGAGAAACAGTATTTTAACTTATGTACAATAATGGGCAGCAGGACATCTCATTACTTAATTTTTAATAATGTGAGAAAATGTGTTCAACATAATGGTACTTCTTACCGTTATTTAACGGTTAACAATGGTGTACCTCAAGGTTCAGTCTTGGGTCCCACCCTCTTTACAATCTACATAGGTAATGTAGGTCAGATCATTCCAGATGCATTCTTACATTTCTATGCCGACGACACAGTTGTTTATTGTTGTGCTAAAATGGTTGCTAAGGATTTCCAGCTTTTGCAATCCACTTTTGACATCATCCAGTCAAGTTTATTCCATCTCAAACTTGTCCTAAACGCCGACAAAACCAAAGGGATGTTGTTTTCAAACAGGAAGTTGGACCCGGCAGTTCTTCCTTCGATTTTATCCTCGAATGGTGTCCCTAATGAGTTGGTCGATTCCTACAAATATTTGGGTAACTAGGCCAATTCGCATCTCTCTTTTAAGCACCACATGGAAAACTTGGTAAAGAAACTGAAAGTTAAAATGTGTTTCTTTTTCAGAAACAGATCCTGTTTAACTCTGAATGCCGGAAATGCCTTGTAACTGTGACTTTCCTTCCCTCCATTGACCACGGTGACATTATTTACATGAACGCTCCTACAAGAACCCTGCAGATGTTGGATACTGTCTATCACGGTGCACTAAGATTCATAACTGGCTGTAACTATCGTACCCATCACTGCATCCTGTATTCACTGGTTAACTGGTCATCATTAACTTCACGCAGACTCTCTCACTGGTCAGGACATTATTACCTGCAGTGTCCCCTCAGTGTGGACTGAACTAGGTAAAAGGGTCTTCTCCTACTCCGCTCCTGTTTCCTGGAATATCTTGCAAAAAGATTTGAATCTCTCGACCTTGACCTCTCTAAGTGACTTTAAACATCTGTTAAGTTCCTGGCAAAAACCAATGCAGCCATCTTCCTGTTTTTCTACTTTGCTTTCTAATGTAGCTGTTTTTATTTCGTTTTTTTAAATACCATTTCTTTTATTTGTTCTTCTCAATTTGTATGTTTTTATGGTTGTCTACTGTTGCCTTTGTTGTCTACTAATGTCATGACTCTTTGTTAAAATCAGGTCTCTCTTGTAAATGAGTCCCTGAGGTGCAATGAAACTAACCTGTATAAATAAAGGTTGAATGAATGACTAATAATACATCTGGCAGTTTAAGCTAGAAACATTGTTTGTTACTCAAATTTCTTTAAAGAGGAACATCTCTTCTCTCCTAGAAAGGAACATGGCAGCAGGGTACAGATTTGCAAAGTTGCACCTGAACAAAACTCAAATCTCTTGGGGGAAATGGAACATACATTACAAAAGTGAACAATGCTTGTTCAATGCACTGTCATGTTTGGCTAAAAATGTGGGCTTCTTTTGCAGCCACAGGAACTGGGCTCTTTACAGATCACGAACAGCTCTGTGTATCAAAATCGTGAGTAAAATGTGAGGAGTCTGCTGAAACTTGGCCTGATCTGGAGAGCTGCACTGCAACCAAGCCAGTATCTGCACCTGCAAAATGGTCTAATCTCTGAAAAATGTCTAACTCCATGAGGTTAGTGTGTATCAGGAGGTTGGCAAATAAAATTTTACAATTGGAAATTGCGATGTGGTTTGTATTTTTTTTGTGCTGGTATCTTCTGTTTTCATCAGAACCGTCACTTTCATGTGGTTGGTGCTCTGTGTGCAGGTCAGACAGTAACAGTCAAAAGAGAAAATGACTCTACACCTGCAAATTGGGCAATGATCACCTCGTAAATAGACATTTAACCAACCCAGGATCTGGATGGAGACAACTTCTTACTGAGTTGGGTTTGTCACTGACTGCTCCAATTTCTGCAGAAATAAAGAGAGACCAAAAATAACTCATGCTCCATCTGTTTGTATTTCAGTTTAAAATTTTTAAAGCCTTTACATGATTAGTGGTAAAGCTGAGACAAACTTGACAAAAATAAAAGAAAGAACTTTCCCCTGGTATACAATGATTTAATAGGTATAAAA